ACCCGATGCCCATATAATATACACAGCTCACTCGGCTATTGAATGGGCGTATGTATGTTGTTCTATGTATATCACATGTTATCCCTTGACATTTATACTATGGCCATATAATATACACAGCTCACTTGGCTATTGCATGGGCGTGTGTGGGACAACCGAATCGGCGACCCGACACGTCCTAATATATAATAAAAGTTAGAGGGATGTCAGCAAGCAGCGGGGCATGTGTGCGTGTGTGCGTATCGTATATGTATCGCAGTACGGAGTCAAGGCCATGTTGGCTGTGGTAGTTAGTGACACGTAGTTACGCATAGCCACACACACAGAGAGGCTGAGGTAGGCACCCCACATAGTTAGTGCGAGTGACTATACAATGGAGTCTATGGCTTGGGATGGAGGATCGACCCGATGACGCGGAGTGCGGCTGGAGTCAGCTGCTTGCTTTGGCTGTGTTGGGGCGATTGGTTCCATCGTCTGTGCTGCGCATTGACTGGCTTCAGACGGATCAAACATGCTATGGTAAGTGTCCCTATACTCGGCTATGATATGCGGAACACATCCCGATCACGGGCAGGCCGCAGCAAGGGTACCAAACTGCGCGGATATGTATTTATGCGAGCCACGTCTCTGCTGTACGGCAAGTGGTATGGGATGAGTGGTAGGACAGGGGGCTGTTAGTGCTGCGTTGGGGAGCGGAGGGTGCCGCAAAGTGCAAAGTTGACAACAACCAGTCTACTGTTGACGGACGAGGACTTATGCAAATAAATATTAAACACGAACAATGACCAATTTATATGGCGCGGTGGAGGCTTGTTGTGCATGGTTGATGGCTATGAAGGTCGTACTGTTTGTTTCTATTGCATTCGAAGTGCCTACACATTTATTCAGTTGTGTGGTGTCTATAGACTTGGACATTCTCCATATGCACACTCACAAATAGTCTTGTAGATGCACGAGTGGAAGAATACTTTCTACAGTTAGAAGCGCCTACACATTTATGCAGTTGTGTGGTGGTGTCTATAGACTAGGACGTTCTCCATATGCACACTCACAAATGGTCTTGTAGAGGCACGAGTGGAAGGATACTTTCTACAGGCAGTTCTCATGCTAAGTGGTGAGGATTAACGGTACCATCAAATTCAAACGGTTGTCTTGATTTTCATCATTTTATATATATTGTGATGTACTGAAGGGTGTGATGCATGTGTGATCGGGAGAGACTGGGATTAGTGGGACACGCTTACGGCAAGTGCGGTGCCACACCACATCTCATCCAGCTGAAGGGTCGGGTTCATACGATATATAGAAGACTTATGCTAGCTGATAGTCTGATGTTGAGTAGGTAAACATAGGATACAAATAGGTGAGGCGAAGATACATCTCCTGCCTCGAGCACCCCTCGGCCAGAAGGTTGTTGAGTACACGAAGAACTAACTGAGGGTACCCTCGATGAATACGCAGCCTGGGCAGAATGCGAGTTCGTTTGCGAGTTGTCTGCGTACCGTTATACGGTGCTACAGTGATACCGGGACGTGCCAGACGTCATGCGACTCAGGCGCACTGTTCAGAGCCACCCTCGTTGGGATCAGGATGGTCCGATAAGCACTCGTCGTACACGTTGTTGTACGGTCCGCAGCCGCCCGAGTCACACCGCGTGTAGTAGTACTTGACTGTGAGCTCCAGCCCGTACGTCCCAAACGTGGTGATGACTACGTTGGAGCTGCCCACCACCGCCGCACTGGCGTCGTTCGAGTCCACGAACACCGTCTCGTAGGCTGGCGAGGAGCTGCCGGCCTTGTAGTCACCCAAGTTGTCGGTGAAGGTGTTGGACACACTCCTACTGGGGAAGGTGAACTCGACGGTCTCCTGCAGTACCACGACGACGGTCTGTGTTTCATCGGGCCAGCTGAGGGTTACCAGTTGTTCGTCGGAGTCTTGGTTTTTGATGACCAGTTGCGCGTCCTGCCACTTGACCTGTGGATGGATTGTAGGGTTTAGATTTTAGGGTTTTGTGAAGTTGTACTATCGAGCTGTGATGATGATGCGAATATAGCACGCCGTCCGCTTTGGATAAGATATTTGTCGCACGACATATTGCCACATGCGCTCGCTAGCACAAAAATCCCAAAACACAGAACACGGGACATACCTCGACACTCTGTTGTAATCCGAAATTGTTCTCCACCTTTCCTGAACCCTATCCGTCCCAATGCTCTTGAGATTGGATTTGAGCGTATTGGTCTTGGTAAGACACTGGCTGGGGTCCTCTATGGGCTCTCGGTAGAACTTTGCGATGTCGAATGTGGCTAAAGGAATCGCAGCCAGATCGGTTCCCTCGGGGACTACATAGTTGCACTCTCGTACCCATTTGACGGTGGCTGTATGAGATGAATTTGAGGTGAAGATAGTTGGTTGGCAACAAGTTCAGATGATCAATCCATTACTTCGTATACGTGTGGCAAGAACGGTAAGTACAGATTCGTATCCGCATTTACATATATCTAGAAGAGGTATGGGTTCGTGACCGCATATATATATACATATCTATATATATATGTGTATATATAAATTTAACTTACGAGTATTTTTATTACAGCTGCTGCCTGGACCGAGAACCTTCGTCTCGTCCGTAATACACTAGTGG